TGTGTGTGTACGATAAGCTTTATATAAATGTAACTCTTCCGCTTCTTCTTTATATATGTATAGCGATATATTATATTATAGAATTATGTTTGGAAGCGGACTGAAGGCAGGAGGCTGTACGGATGGATCAGATGGTGTGTTTGCCCAGGGCAAGAGCGAGACACAAATATCTTTGGGGGGGGGGCATCCCATCACGCAGTACACGCGTGATAGACACATACACACACACTCTCACTCCGTTCTCCCCCCCTCCGCTCCCACCTTCCGAACCCCTTAGGAGAGCACGCGTCACGCCGAAGCCCTGGATGCCGTGACCACTTACCTTGGGTACGGGTCATACTTGGAGTGGAGCGAGGACCAGAAGATCGAGTGGCTGACTAAGGAGCTCCAGGTGCGGTTTCCCCCCCGGGGGGTTGGGGAGGGGGGGAAATGTGTTTTTTGGGGGGGAAATGGGGAATGTGGGAGGAGGTGGGGAGGTTTCAATGGGCAGGTCGACTTGGGTCCGGGACGTAGGTCTCCCCCCCCCCGTTTGACGATCAACACCCAAGTGGTCGTTCCTATCCGAACTTGTATCCGAACTTGTATCCGAACTTGTATCCGAACTTGTATCCGCACTGGTAAGAAATCGTCTAGTAATAAATATAGCCATTGCTATATTTAAAGCACCCCTTATCTCTTGTATGTGGTTCAAGTTCATTCGGCAGTGGTTCGTCCTCTCCCCCTCGCGGCCCCCCTTCAGTTCACCCTGGTCCCTATTGCAGGGGATTCACTGCCTTGCCGGCCCGGGGTATTACTTTACCGCACAGCAAAACAACATCCTCCCAAAGTACATTAGTTGGATCCTAAAGTACATAAGTTGGATCCTAAAGTACATAAGTTGGATCAAGTCAGAAGTCCCCTACTGCTACTGCCACTGCTACAGGACTTGCTATACCCTTCTTACCGCACTGTTTTTGATTTTCTCATTCATTTTCCCAATTAATCATAACCTCTTTATTTATTTTTTGTACTTCGGCCTCAACTTTGTACTCGGTACTTTGGACGTCGGCAGAATCGACCTTTCCTTTTAATACAAGTTCTAGCAGCTAGTAGTTTTTACTTGCTGTTAATGGGGTTAGTTGTGTGTTAATGCAGCCGCCCCTACAGGTCCCACTTTTCCCCTCGCCTCCCCCTTTTTTGTTCCCCCTTTCCCCCTTCACTCGTTCGTGGTTCGTCTCCTCCCCCCCCGCCCTCCCCCTCTCTCTCTCTCCCCCTCTCTCTCTCTCTCCCCCTCTCTCTCTCCCCAGGGTCGTCGGCCCCTCATTCCCTCCGACATGCCCATGAGCTCCGAAGTACGGGAAGTGCTAGACACGTTCAAGGTGCGTGAGTGTGTATGTACGTATGTATGTATGTACGCATGTCAGCACACCAACCACGACAGCCCACTGCCGTGAGCGCCTCTTTTCTCTCTTTTTTTTCGAAAATGAAATCCATTGCCGTACAGGTGGCTGCACGGCTGGGTCGCGGCAGTCTGGGTGCTTACGTCATCTCCATGACTAAGGGCGCCAGTGACGTCATGGCGGTGGAGCTGCTGCAGAGGGAGGCGAGGATGCAGGTGGGGGGCCGGGGGGGGGGAAGCGGAGCGCGTGCGTGTGTGTGTGTGTGTGTGTGTATGTGTGTGATCTTCGCCTCATCTCCATGTCTTGTTTGGGTCTTCGCTTTTGGCTTTTGGTTTTGCCGGGACGCCCCTCCTCCTTCAACCTTCCCCCCCTCCGCCCCTTGCCCCCCCGGGCCCTGAACCCCCCCCCCTCAGGTGTGTGCGGAGCTGTCTCGTACACCGGACGAGAGCGCCTCGCTGCGAGTGGTGCCGCTGTTCGAAACGCTGGAGGTGAGTGGCGGGCCGGCGGGCTGTGGGCCGGTGGGCTGTTGGCCGTCGCGGGCTCCTGTTCAACATTGGAGCGTTGGAAAAGAAAGGATTCAAGCAGCAGCTACGGCTACAGCTTTTTATGACTTCGAGAATATCCTCACACACATATACACATACGCACATACGCACATACACACATACGCACATACACACATACACGCATACACGCATACACACATACACACATACGCACATACGCACACGCCGCTGGCGGCCATTCGGAGCTCACTTCGGTGCCATATGAAGTTGATGTAATCAAGGGTGTAACCCCCATCGGCATTTTCCACAGCGCGGCTCCGAATATCTTTCAAACACACACGCACACACGTTCACGTTCACGCTCACGCTAAATGCGCACACACGTACACACACACACGTACCACCCCGCCGCAGGATTTGGAAGCCGCGGGGGACATCGTAACCCGGCTGTTGACCAACCCCTGGTATAGGGCCCACCTCGCCGCCGCCCACGACAACCACCAAGAGGTCATGTTGGGTTACAGCGACAGCGGAAAGGACGCGGGGCGGCTGGCGGCAAACTGGGCCCTATACAAGTGAGTGAGTTTTCGCCTTTTCGCCCTAAAGGGGGGGGCCGGGGGGAAAGACGAACCACACGCGATTTAAGCTGCTGCCAGAGCAAGATAATAGCAACCGAAAGAACTGACCGAAAGGCGTCCGTGGCGAATGTGACGACTGTAACCTCGGGATGACGACTGTAACCTCGGGATGAAGAATTGGCGTAGAAGTAGAAAGTCCTACCTACCTAAGCCGCCAGAAATATTATAGCCAAAACGTAAACTAGTAGGTGTAGAAAAAGTAGTAAAGGCGGCGAGAAAAGAAAGTGCTGACGTAAAAGAGGCGTAAAGTTGCTGGCCAGGAGAGAAAGCTGCATTGCTGATACTGAAAGGCTGCCGGTATGCAAGTGCTCCTCCCAACCCCCCAAAAAAAAACTAGAACGCGCGACTGACCCGACCGACCCAAACTAAACTATTCCGGCTAGCCTACCGACGCCAACGCGAAATACCAAAGAAGCTCGAACCACCTTATGGACTCACCTGGCCAGGCAGCAGGAGCAGCGGGTAAAGGCACATGCAAGGCAGAGAGGTTGGGGAATTTGTGAGCAGCGAAAGAAAAATACGAAAACGCATGCAAATGCTGCTGAAAAGGAGCCGGGGGCCGGGGGCCGGGGGGAGGAGGCCCCTCCAGGGGGGATTGGGGCTTGCGACGGCGCCCTGTACTGAGGGGTACGACGACAGGATATGAATTAGACGTACGAACGACTGAGTTTGATCTGCTCGAAATGTGCGTTGTTGTTGTTGGTGGTGGTGTTATGTTTCGATCCCGGGATATCCTGGGGTGTGCATCGATGTGTGCGTTACCAGTAACGCCTGACCTATGTATGTATGTATGTATGTATGTATGTCTTTTGAGTTTATTTTCTGCCGTACAACTTAACCCCATTTCTCGTGTCCTATTATGTTTTCAATAACAATTTTTACGTTTGTTGAATGTTTTTATATTATTTCAACCGTTCCCACTGTCACTGCCGTTCCCACCCCCAGGTGTCAGGAGCAGCTGGTAGCCTTGACCAAGGCCAACAATGTACGACTGACGCTGTTCCACGGCCGTGGCGGAACCGTGGGTCGCGGTGGCGGCCCGACCCACATCGCCATTCAGAGCCAACCCCCTGGCAGCGTCGAGGGCTCCTTCCGTATCACGGAGCAAGGCGAGATGGTACAGGCCAAGTTCGGCATCAGCGGCGTGGCCTTGAGTCAGCTGGAGACGTACACGACTGCCGTACTGCTGGCGACGCTGCGGCCGCCTAGTCCGCCGCGGCGGGAGGAGTGGCGGACGGTTATGGAGATGCTCAGTCGGGCCTCCTGCGAGAGCTACCGTAATGTCGTACATCACAATCCGGTGTTTATTCAGTATTTCAAACATGCGACGCCGGAGGAGGAGCTGGGCAACCTCAATATCGGTGCGCTGCCGCCGCCGCCGCTGCTGCTGCCGCTGATTTGTATCACCTCTTTATAATGATGATTTGCGTGATTAAATGTTATATATACATACATATATATTAAATACATATTAATACATATTAATACATATTAAATACATATATATACATACATATATATATATATATATTAAATGTTATATATACATATATATATACATATAAACCCTAAACCCTATGAATATACATCTAATATATTTATATTTATATTGTTGAGGATTTGTGCTGGGAAAGGATTATGGTGGGAAAGAGGGGGTAGCAGCTACAGCTATGTATACAAACGTACAGCACATACAGAAAAAAACAGTCACCAGGATGTACACATGTATGTTTGTGTATATACGCATCACCTTCCCTGGACCCCCTTATCCCAACAGTCGTGCGATGGCGGCTTTTGCCCCTTTTGCCCCCCCTCCCCCCCCAGCCAGTAGTTCGTCTTATTCCCCTCCTCCTCTCCCTCACCCCCCTCCTCTCCTGGTCAATTCTACTTCTTGTACACTCTTTCCTTGGCAGCAGCTTCACTCGTTCACGTGGTTCATCTTATCCCCCGCTCTCCCCCCCCTCTTCACTCCTCCTTTCCCTCCCCCCTGTCCTCTTGCCCTCAGGCTCCCGCCCCGCCCGGCGGCGCCAGGAGCCCTCCATCGCCACCCTCCGCGCCATTCCCTGGATCTTCGCCTGGACCCAGAACCGCCTCATCTTGCCCTCTTGGCTGGGCATTGGCGCCTCGCTGATGATGGCCATACAACAGGTGGGTCGGCAGTCCAAGGGGGGAGGGAAAATGGGGGAGGAAGGGGGGATGGAGGGGGGAAGGAGGGGGGAAGGAAGGGGGCTCGTGTGTGTGTGTGTAATATGTAACGGTAGTTAAGTACAACGGTAATAAAAGGCGCCAAAAGACGGTTTTGGAAGGACAGACGCAACGGAGGCTGACAGAACCCCAGCAGGAAGGAATCGATTTCACGACATCCATATTCAACCGTGCTAACCACCAACCAACTGTAATAATAACTAACTAGCATTCCACTCCTGTACCTTCGTTCCACTTCACTCTTCCACTCCCCCGCCCCGCCATTACAACTATGCAGGGTCACCTTCCCACGCTGCAAGCTATGTACCGCGAATGGCCGTTCTTCGGCTCCACCGTTGACCTCATAGAGATGATTCTGGCCAAGACCGAGCCGCGCATCGCGGCGCTGTACGACAGCGTGTTGGTTGAGGATTCGGAGCAGAAGCGGTTGGGGGCGGAGCTTCGGGAGCGGTTGGCGCGGTGCCAGATGGCCATACTCAAGGTAGGCAAGACGTTTGGGAAGGGGAGGAGGAAGAAGTCGTTGACGGTTGGAAGTTGGCGACATCACCACGCGGCGAAAACACAAACCCTCGGCCCCCGGCCCCCGCGGCCCCCCCCCCCCGACTCGTTAAGCAATTTCGGACCTCTTGGACACGCCGGCAGCAGTTCACTTCCTACTTCCGCGCATATAATTACCCCCCTCCCTCCTCACCTCCTCACCTCCTCTCCTCCTCTCCTGCGCTCTGCAGGTGACGGGTCACGAGAGGCTTTTGGACAACAACCCCACTCTTCGCAAGCTCATCAACATGCGGACGCCGTACATCGACCCCATTAACATCTTGCAGGTATGTGTGTATGTGTGTATGTATGTATGTATGTGCATGTGTATGTATCATGTGGTCTTCCTTTTCCTGGTCAAAACATTCTCATATGCTATAAAGCATGAGACTCTTCATGAGACTCTCTACGTCATATACCATGTAGCGGGAGATGTGCTTGTTGCTCGGAGCCTCATCCTCCCCTCATCTCCCCCCCCTTCCCCCTCACTCCCCCAGGTGGAGGTGCTCCGGCGGCTGCGGAAGAACCCTCTCAACCAGCGGCTCCGAGACGCGCTGCTCATCTCCATCAACGGCATCGCCGCCGGCATGCGCAACACCGGCTAAGTAACCCATTGCCCACGTTGCTTACAACCCCCTGGCGATCTCCGCTTGCGCAATGAGAAGGGCCCCCGACCCGACCCGGCCCGTTCTTGAGCCGGGGCTGAGGCAGCGAGGTTGAGAGCGCTGAGGAGCTTCCGAAGATTAGGGATGGTGTTGGAGGGCGTGCGGAGTGAGGTGTTGAGGGCCCTCCGAACTCCGGTTTAACTCAGATTGAGGCGGGGCGGGCTAGCTGGCGAGTGCAATTGTAGCAGTGGCAGCAGCAGCAGCAGAAGCAGCTGCTGTGCCACTTTTGTTGTTAGGTTGCAGGGGATGGGGAGAGTCGCTGTATCTGTTTGAAGAGCTTCACGGTTTCCAGGTGGGCCTCGGAGGTGTGTGCGGTGACTGCGGTACGGTGGCTTTCCTTAAGAGAGTGTCTATGGTGGTGGTGTGAGCTGAGAGCTGTGACAAGCGCCCAGCCCTGGAAGAGGGTGAGGGGGAGGGAAAGGGGGTGGGGCTGTGGGAGAGGAGGGGTAAAAGACGTTTATTGGGGAAGAGGGGGAGACACGGGTTACACACCAGTACCGTACATGCACGGATACCGTAAAGGTACGTGAGTCGGGGAAGAAGTGAAAGGGGCAAATTGTCGAGGAAGCGGATAATTTTTTCCGGCTTGCTGTTTGCGTTGCTGTTGCTTCTATCCTTGCTGTTGCTATTTCCTGTTCTGTTAGTAACGCTAACGTAAGTAACGCTCGGTGTGAGGGGGTGGAGAAGGTCGGGTGGAAACTTTCCACTGGAAAGTTCTGAGCTGAGCTGCAGCGACGGGGCAAAGACAGCTTTAAATAGCTCGTATTCGCGCTTGTTACGTGTACAGCACATCATCCGATCGGGGATGGGGAATGGACCCTGGTGTGTGTAACATGACCCTTCTTTGCTACTGATACAGGTTCCATCTTGCCTTCCAAACGTTGTTTCTTCCCGTGTTTCTTGTTTTGCTCTCGTACCTCTTAATAAGTAAGGAGCCCCGCTGAGTTTTCTTGTTCACATAACGCCTGGAATTTCTTTCTTCCTCGACCTATGGGGGGTGTTTTTTGTCTACTCGCAAGCGCCTATAGTTGCGTGTGATGTGATGTGGCATTGTCGGTCGTGTGTTGACAAAGGTCATAAAACACATAATACGCTAGCGCTGTGAGGCTTATGAGCGTCCATGAAATGGAATTTTTCCCTTTTCCAAATTGCGTTGTGGTGATGAGAAAAGGTTATGGGACTCTGCCGCTTGTCACTTAGCAGCTTGGGGAGCAGTAGGAGGTTGAGAAGCATGATGACTGGGCAAGGTCGAACGAATTGTACAACTGCAGAAAGTACATAAGCAGACCGTGACGGGCCAAACACCGGAGCGAAGCAGAAACGAAGGGGAACCCCTTTAGTTCGTCTTCCAAAGGGGAACCAAAGGGGTTCCCCTTCGAGCGAGCAGCGAGCTCTCTTACGCAGCGGATATTTGGAATCGCATCATACTCACGGCATCTGTCGACGAAAGGGGGCTGCATTAAAGCGCTAGGTAGGTTTCGTAGAAACTGTTGCACAAAATGCCTCCCAACTTGAATCCCGCATGGGCGCGAGGCGGCAATCTGTCCAGCAGCAGCCGCTGGCATTCAACCATAGTCTCTATGTTATAAAACCAGTCAGAACCAGTGAGCCAGCCCTTATTTGCCCAGGCGACGCAGCTGGACAATAAACACTGCGGCCCACAACGCCCGGTGCAGCACATCTCAACCGAACCGCTTGTAGACCAGAAATATGAGTTCTATTGTGATATTACTGCACTGCACCGCACAACAACAGCAACAATAGTAGCACTGGCAGTAGCACGCAGGTCATTTGTTTGTTCTCCCATGATGTAACAGCAAGTACAGTCGTACTTACCCCACCATCACCACTACCACCACCACCACTACCATCACCGCACCGTCATCAACATCGTCGTCTTTGCACCCTTCATGCAAAAGCTGCGGTACTCGAGAAATCCAGTTGTGTCTACCTCCGGCCCGGAAGCCGAGCCACGGCCGCAACCGTAGCAAGCAGCAGCAGCAGTACTAGTAACTAGTAACGAAAGCAACAAAAGAGCAAAGCACACAAAAAGAAGAGACAGCAGCAAAGACAGCGTCTGCTTTCTCTTTGCACATTATCACACGCGACTGCCCCCAGGGTTGGAGAAAGAGATTTCACAGCTTTTACAGTGAAACACTACTTAGCATGGCGATGCAAGAGTATTATACGTTTCTCACCCCCCCTCCTGCAACTACCGTTCAAGCCACCATCCACCCACCCAACCACCACGCCTCCCCCATCCCCAATAGCACATTTCTATCACATCATCATCCCATCCTACGATAGCGACTAAGCAATCCGGAGCCGCCCCTCCTGGAATCTCTATCCTACACAGGCACACGCACACGCACAGTCATATGCTTGCAAGTGTGGCGGTGCATATGTGTGCCGCCACATGTATGTGTGCGGCACGGTAATAGGCCCCAGAGGGATGCTTACCTGGCCTGGCTTGCAACCGGCGCACACACACTTACTTACTCGCACGCACGCACGGACGCAGAGGCAAACCCAAGCCGCTAGGGAAAGGAAAAGGCCCCCGAGGCGCATCTTGTCCAAAGCCGCGACAGGGCGGGCGGCTGTCCTGAAGCCCTGGAGCCCCACATTTCGCTAGAGTAACCCTCTTCTGTACTTTCGTCACTGCAGCCACCACCACCAGTTCCACCACCACCTCGCAGAAGCTTAGCAACTGCATCCAGTTGCAGCAGCAGCAGCAGTAGCTGTACAGTTTTCCAAAAGTCCTCTCTCACCTCCCTCTGTTTATTATTGAACCCGCAGCGCCCTCTAGACGCGGCCCCACGACCGCCTCCAAATAGTCCGCCACCGCTCCCCTCACCACCGACTGATGACTGCTCAGCAACACCAGCACATCTGGCAGCAGCGTCAGATGACGAGCCTGGCGCTCCTCACCCACAGAGAGGGAGACCGTAGCCCTGCCCGCCACCGGCCCAGCAGCCCCCGCGACCGCGACGTTGTCGCCGCATGGCCCACCTGCACCCTCCTCGTCCAGCGCCGCCATCGATAACAGGACGTGGATGGCGCGAGCGAGCACCGCCGCACGTACAGCATGGTCCCAGCTGCTGCCGGGGAGGTTTGGATCCAGCGGGGCGGGCTCCCGGGGCGCCGCCGTCGACGCGGCGTGGTGGTGGCGTCCCCCTGCAGCTGTAGCTGCCGCCGCCTCCGCCGCCGCCGCCGTGGCCATCGCCCTGGCATGCGCGGCGACGCTGCACTCAATGATGTGGCGGCACAGCTTCTCGAGCTGCTCGCAGGCTTCCCGCCGCCGCGGGAGGTCATCTGTCGCCGTCGCCGTCGGCGTCGGCGTCGCCATCGCGCAGCCGAGCAACAATGTAATGGCCGCGTCCGCGGACTCGACCTCCAGCCGCGTCAGCGCCGGGCGCATGCCGTCATGGCTGGTGGCGGAGGTGAGCTGAAGGTGAGGCCCGGAGAGCTGAAGACGAGCGCCAGGGAGGGCAGGACCCTCCTGCACCGCCGCCGCCGTACTGCTGGCAGCGTCGGCGGCGCCATTCTCCCCAGCAGCTACAGCTGACGGGAGACACGGAGCTTCCGCGTCGGCGGTAGCGGAGACCGTTGCCGTACAGACCGATAACCCTGCCGGCTCGCCCTCGCACCTGCCCTCACCTTCGGCCGCCGCCGGCGCCGCGACGGGTGATTGTGGCGGTTTGCCTCCCGTGTTTTCGCACCAATCACCTGACCCGGGTGGCGTCGCCGTCGCCGTCGGCTGTGAAGCTGCGTCCTCAACCCCAGCCTCGTCCTTGCCAACGCGCGGCGCGTCGGCCTCTGCGCCGCTGCCCGACCCGACGGCTTCAAGTACTACTCCGCCGCCAGCGCCCCCGCTGCGATCTGCAGCATCCCCAGCGCCTGCTTCATGACCTCGTGCACCCGCAGCCGCACCCGCCTCGACCTTCCCATCATCCCAGTCCTCATCCCAGCCGTCGCTCCATCCATCGTCGGCGGCAACCGGCTCCGTCGGCAAGCTAGCCATGACGGCAGCGCCACCAGCACCACCGTCACCAGACTTCCCCCGCCGCCGCCGCCGCCGCTGCTGCTGCGGTTCTGATTGGCTACTGCTGAGGTCATGACTGGGGCTAGCGGCCAGCAGCCCATCGTGTTGTTGCTGCTGCTGCTGCTCCGGCGGCAAATCCTCCCGCATGTTGAACGCCATTAGCCGTTGGGCTACACCAGTCAGCAGTACGACAAGCTGCCGTACAACGTTCCACGGAAGTTGCCCTGCGCAGCGCACCGTGTACTCGGACAGCGTCCGCAGCAGCAGCACCGCCATGCGACAACGGCATCGCAACCGCCGTACCTCCAACGGCTCCGGCGGCGGCGCCCGGCGGCCACCGAACAAAAGGGGAGCCGGCAGCGGCGGCGGCGATGCCGCCGCCGCCGCCAGCTGCTGCCGCCGCAGCTGATCCGCAAATCGGGTTATGATGTCCAGTTCTGATGTCATCGTGGATGAGAGCAGCGGCAGTAGCACGTCCCAGCCCCGCTGTAGCAGTTGTTCTTGTTGCTGCTGCTGCGGCGGTTGTTGGTTAAGGTTTTGGTTTCGGATCTGGTCCTGGTAGGAGAGCGACAGGCCAGAGGTAGCGCAAGAGCCTGATGTTGAGCTGCCGCTGCCGCTGCCGCTGGCGGGCCTTTCAGCGGCGGCGGCGGCTGACGGCGGCGACGGCAGTACGACGCCTCCCGTCACGTAAAGCAACTGTGTCAGACTGCTGAGCCCCGCTCGCGCCACGGCCTCCGCGGGATGCCGGAACCAGCCCAGACAAGTCGTCGCAAGGAGGCCCAAAAGCTCCCGATATAGATCTGTATGACGGCCGCCTTGGCGGCGACCGCCGCCACCATCGCCGCCGTACACCCAGTCGTCACTGTCGTCATCCTCATCGTCACCTTCGCTATCGTACGACAGCCGTCGGCGACGGCTGTACGACGATGGCTCAGCATCAGCGCGCGGCGCTGCCGCCACCGCCGCCAGCGGCGCCAGCTGGCCGCACATCATCGGGAACAGCCGGTCGACTCGCGCTACAAAGCTGGCGGATATCGATTCAAGGGGGAGGCTGACGGAAGTGGCGCCGCCAGCGGCGTCGGCGGCCGCCTCCGTCGCGTTCGCCGCCGCCGGGTCCAGCGCCGGCGGCACTCGGAATGCTACAGCCGCCACGACGCGGTGCAGCATCACCCGCCAAGCGCGAATGCCCCAAACAGCGCTATGGCTGCGCATGAGATCCAATGCAGCTTCTAGCCCCGCCGCCGCCAGCCGCGGCGCCGCCGGCGTCCCCGCCACATCCGCCACCACCTCCATCAGCAATCCCCACTCCTCCGCAGGCGTGGCGGCCCGCACGTGCAGCGGCGCCGCCGCCAGCTGATCGAGCATGGAGCGATGGGATGACGAGGAGGGAGATACCAAGGGGCCGTGGGCGCCGCCGCCACTGGCGGCGGAATCCTGCGTCGCTAGCGGCCGCGGCCGCGGCGGCGGCGGCGTCGCTGACGACGAGTTCCAGGGCAGGTGGTGTACGGACGTAGGTGGGCCGCTGCCGTTGGGCTGGTGCCTGTGGTGGTGGTGGTAGGGATGCTGTGGCGGCGGCGGTCGCGCTGCCAGCCGCCTGGCCACCTGCACCAGAAGCGGAACCGCCGCCGGCGCCCGGTCCGGATGGTGGGGGTTGCGAATGGCCGTCAGTACGGCACACAGCGTCTCCCGGTAGCAGTCATGCCCTGGCGGCGGCGCCGCCGCCGGACGGAACAGCGCCGCTACCGCCACTTCCAGCACGGGCAAGGCCTGCTCGTAGACCGCCAGCGAGCTGTCCTCCGTCGCCCGCCGCAACGCCTCCATGACCACCCGCCAGCCTGAGCCCAGACCGCGCGCGTGCGACGTCATAACGCTCTCTATCGCCGTCAACGCCATGGTACGGATACTCGCGTCGTCCGATAACCGCAGCACCGCCACAAACGGCCGGAGGGCGCCCTCAGCGGAACCCCATGCCGACTGCGTCAGCGGCGGCGGTGGCGGCGGCGGCTCCGCCGCCGCCGCGGCTGCGCCGCCAGCCGCCGCCACGGTCCCTGCGGCGGCGCGCTGCAGTTGCAGCTGCTCCCGCTCCAGAACCCGGCCGGCGAGGGCCCGCAGCGCGTCGACGGCCTGCGCTGCGATGGGCTGTTGGCCGTGGCAGGCGGCCATGACCAGGTGCGCGGACAGCACCGCCCACAGCTTGGACCAGATGAGGCGGATGCGTCCTGCCAGGTTGAGGTGGGCTACCTGCAACCCATGGGGGACGTTGGGGAGGGGGGGAGAAATGCGGTGACAAACACACACATACATACATACATACATACATACATACATACACATACATGCATACATGTGAAACAACGTGGCAGCAGCAGTAGCAGTAGCAGCAGCAGCAGTAGAACAAGAAAAAGAAGATAAGAAGGCCTAGGTCGGGTTGTCAATCCCCGCCCTCCATTTCCCCCAAAATAATTAATGAACCCCGCCATGTGTACGGCGTACGGCATACGGCAGATACCCACCTCAACGAGGCGCTGCAGGCTGTACACCCGGGGCCGCGGCGCGTCCAGCTCCTCTCTGCTAACAGCGCACAGCGCCCGGAGGAATACCACCACCGCCTCGCCGTCCAGGCTAGCGCTGCGGGTATACACCTGGGAGGAGGGAGGAGGGAGGCGGGAGGGTTAACATTGAGAAAAAATGAGACAACTTTTAATTAAGACAACTTTTAATTAAGATTTTAATTTATCAATTTATAATTGAGAAAAGGAAAGTAACATATACATTTTATAACATTATTATACACACTTATATAATACATACCAGTTGCATTTTTAAAAACAAAATAACTCTACAGGCGCCGTTTTAATAAAAATTGGTAGTATCAAACAAAAGGCATTAAGTTGTACTGAGGGTGAAATATGTGATTGAACTGATTGGGAGAGCAAATTACTAAACAAGGATGCGGGCGGGGGTCATGTGTCGGAAGAAAAAAAGGATGGAACGTGGTGGTGGTGGTTTCGGAGGGATCATAATCGGAACTGGAACTGGACCATGATGCTGAGCTGTTTTGCCCCCACTGCCTCGTGCAGGCACTGCGAACATTTACTTCGCTCATACACGTCGTACATCGTACGACAGACGACGTCTCATACCTGCTCGATGACGGGTCTGCCTGTCGTGACTGCCCACATGGCCAGGGCCGCACCCGCCATGACGCGCACCGGCGGCGGCGGCAACCCCGAACCGTCCTTGCGGGCACCACCACCACCGCCGCCACCGCCGCCGCCGGCGGTGGCGGCAGCGGCTGCTGCCGCCGGATCCATACCATTACTCCCCGCCGCTTTGCCTCCAGCCAACGACCCTCCAACGCCGGCAACGCCGCTGGAGCCGCCGCCGCCTCCTCCAACGCCCCAGAGCCCTCCAAACACTCTTGTTAATAAGCTGGCGCCGCCTCCAGCGGCGGCGGAATTGCCGGCGGCGGCGGCGGAGCCGCCGCCACCGCCTCCGGCGGCGGCCGACGGCGGTGACATAAACGCCACTCCGGTCTCCCCGGGCTGGAGCGGTCGCGCCACGACGCGGACCAGCGCTTCGAGTTTAGATGCCGTACGCAGGATGATGGTCCAGGCGCTTCCGAGTTGGCCGGCTTCTGGGCTGGCGGCGGCGCCAAGCAGAGCCCGCAAAGCGGCCAGCTGCCGCGCCGCGGCGGCGGAGCCAAACGGCGCCGGCGCCGTCACGCTGGCGGCAGCAGCCACCGCCGCCACCGCCGCCTCGCAAAGCTCCTCCAGCCCCATAAGGCCTGCCAGCTCCGCCAACGTCACCAGCGCGCCCAGCACCGCCTCCGCGTCGGACACGTACGACACCGCCGTCACCAGCGCCGTCGTTAGCGCCTCGCCGCTGACCGTCAGCATGGGACGCGTGTGCGCGCGCATGTGTGCAGGTGTGCCAGGTGTTGCTAAGACAGGTACCAGGGCCGCCGGCAGTTTCGCCGCCGCCGCCGCCGCCGCCGCCGCCGCGCGCCACCGCCATCTCCGCCACCTCCATCATTTGCTGCCTCTGCCGCTCCGCATTGCTCACCTACATCAACACCAACACCAACAGCAGTGGCAGTAGCGGTGTCGTCAGCAGTAACAACAATCATAGCCAGAGCTTTCCTCCCAAACCCAACGAACAACAATCCAATCCGGTGGAGCATGCGCACCCCCAAACCCACCCACCCAGCCCCCTGTCAGGGCGTCTCAAGCCGATCCTCAAGCTATCCACTTTAATTGCCCGCCACACCATCCTGTTGCTCCCCTCTTTCCTTCCCCTCCCTTGTGTCCTACCGTCCTCCATCACTCCCCCCCCTTCCCCTTTTCCCCCCTCCACATACCTGCTTCCGGTCCACGGCACTCGCGCTGCGGAACGGCGCCACCAGCGCTCGCAGTCCCAACGCCGCCGCCAGCTTATTACCACCTCCACCCCCTCCTCGCCCAACCCCGCTGCCACCGCGCTGCTGCTTCCCAACCCCTCCACCAGCTCCCGTCGGCATCGCCGACCGAACCACAATCTCCTGCGCCACGATCCTGTCGTAAATCCCCTCCAGCTCCCGTACAGGCAGCACCGGGACGTACACGCCGGCGGCGCCGGCGCCGCCGCCGCCGTCGTCCGCCGGCAGTGACGTCATCGCGACGAAGCCGGCTCGGTCAAGGCGCCGTTCCGCCAGTGGGTTGTGTGCGTCTGTATTCAACATGATGACGGCGAAGGCGAGGACGTACGCGGCGTCGGCGGTACGGAAGACCCCGGGGTTGTCGCGGACGTAGCGCTCCGCAAACGCTTCCATGAGGCGGTCGATCTTTTGCGCCTCGCCGGGTAGCCGGAAGGGCAGCAGAAAGCTGCGCAGCGCAGCGTCGATGGACATGCCGCCGTACCTGCGCTCATCGTGCGCCAAGGAGGAAAGGTCTTACCAGAAACCAGGTATTTAAATGTGGATTTGGTGAAAGGAAAGTCCCCTCCCCGCTCCCCTCCCCTCCCTGCTCCCCTCCCTGCTCCCCTCCCCTCCCTGCTCCCCTCCCTGCTCCCCTCCCCTCCCTGCTCTCCTCCCCTCCCTGCTCCCCTCCCCTCCCTGCTCCCCTCCCCGCTCCCCTCCCTCCTCCCTGCTCCCCTTACCCACCTCTCTTGGTCCACGTACGCGTGCATGGCCGCCAATTCAAATTCCTCGTGGTGCCCGAGGTACTCCCCCAGGGCGGTCGGGTCCAGGTCAGCTGCATGCGCCCGGAGGAAGACAGCGACACCGACAGGACTGTCCTCAACCACACCACTGCGAACAAGTACAGCAACGGGGAAAAGGACGTCGTCAGTTGCTTTATATCCTCTTGTCTTTGCATATACTTCCCTCCTCCCCGCCCCGTTGTCCTTCTTGGTATCTCTACTCCATTCGCCAGTGGTTCGCCTTACCCACCCTTTCCCTTCCCCCCTTTTCCCTTCCCCCCTTTTTCTCACGCCAACGCGCCACGTCGCGCCGCGATAACTATATTACTCACGTCACTAATGCCTCGGTGTCTTCTCACAACTATTCCAGGTGCAGTAAGTATCCGTCTTATCCTAATCCTATAATATCCGGGTCTATCTCTGGTATCAGAGCTGCTAAATTCACTCGTCAGTGGTTCCTCTTACCCCCCCCCCCGCGTCCTGCACCCTCCCCCCTCCCTGTCACAAACCACACCTGGCTGCAAGGAACCGCATGGCCTTCACCGGGCTCCCCCCGTTGAACAGCGCCATCCCGCGACTGAGACTGCTCTTAGCCACCTTGACAGCCTGGAAACGCTCAGCCTCAGAGGCGCCACCTCCTCCTCCGCCACCTCCTCCCGCACCTCCTCCCGCACCGCCGCCGGCAGCGCTGCTACCATTCACGTGGAAAATGGAGCCGAAGAGACCGCCGGAAGCGCTGTCGCTCTCACTGGCCCGCTGTGCCGCGTCCCTCTCCTGATGAGGCTGCGGCTGCTTCGCAGCACTAGCAGCGGCAGTAGTGGCGTCAGAGCCTCCCACCGGCTTGCCCAGCGAAGCAGCGTTAGTGCTGTTGCTATTGTTGTTACTGCTACTGCCGCCGCCACCGCCACCGCCGTCCTCCTCATTAAGCTGTTGTTGGTTGGCGGGCTGCTGCTGCTGCTGCTGCTCCTTCAACGGTGCCGACCAGACGTCCAGACAATGTACGACAGACAGCAGGCAGCGCAGTGCGACATCACGTGCGGAGTTCAACTGCCTGGCCAGCTCCTGCTGCTTGGGCCCGGGGGGGGCCGGGGAAGGGCCGTCGAGCTCCTTGCGCTGGGAGAGCCGGGACAGAGCCTGTCGGAGTAGGGTGGCGTAGGGTGGGGTAAACACATACGAAACCCTCCCCTCGCTGCTCCCCTCCCTGCTCCCTGCTCCCCTCCCTGCTCCCCTCCCTGCTCCCCTCCTTGCTCCCCTCCCTGCTCCCTGCTCCCCTCCCTGCTCCCCTCCCCGCTCCCCTCCCTGCTACCCTCCCCCATCGGCAGCAGTACCTGCACCGTTCGCTCGTACAAGTTGGGCGCCTTAAGGTCGCAGTCGTAATTGACGAACAAGTCCACCAGCAGCTGGGGCTCCGAAACCAGCCCTACAAGACAGGGAAGCAGCGCCGAAACCACGGTGCCTAGCTCCACAGGGCCCATCTGTTCCACCTCCAGGGGCCGGAGCAACAGCAGCGGGTAGAAGGCCCCCAGCTCGGCCTGCGGGCCGGGGAGGGCCAGACAGGGGGATGAGGGTTCAGATGCGAGGTGCAGAGATTTGCAAGGCGATCAGGAACTGTCTCCAAAGTCCGATGTGGAATTATTCCTTAGTTAGATTAGCAGTTTTGGGGGATGGAAAGGGAAAGGGAGAGGGACGGCGAGCGTCATCGGGGCAGATGTGGCGCAGGGGTGCAGGGATGGAGGGAGAGGAGTGGAACGAGGGATGCACCTCACCCCACCTCACCCCACCTCACCCCATCCCACCCCACCTCACCCCACCTCACCCCACCTCACCCCACCTCACCCCACCTCACCCCACCTCACCCCACCTCACCCCATCCCACCCCACCTCACCCCACCTCACCCCACCTCACCCCACCTCACCCCACCTCACCCCACCTCACCCCATCCTCGCTGATAGAACCATGAACCCTCATCCTCATCCACTACTCCCCATCACCCCCCACTAATCCCCCCTAAACACACACACACACACACCGACCTTTAGCCCCCTGCGCAGCTTGGGTTGCAGCAGCAGCGTCGTCAGCAGCTTCACCGCCAGCTGAAAGGCGGCCGCATCCGAAGGGGAGCAGTTCCTCAAAAGGACGAGACACAGGGGCTGGTGGAGGTGCCGTACGAACACGTCACGGGCGTTGTCCCAACTATGACAGGGGGATGTGCGTGTGTATTGTTGGAGGGGGGAAAAGGGAAGAAAAAGGGGGGAGGTGGGAAGGTCAAAACACAGGCACGGACCAGGTAACGACGGGTGAGAAAAGGGTAGAAAAGGTAAGCACGAAAGGAGTTAGCTACGGATGGACGAGCGGATGCTTTTATGGATATGCCGTACGTGCGATAGCGCCGTACATGGCAGTGCGAGTCCGCTGTACCACTCGAATCCCCCACCCGCTCCCCCTTCCGGCAGGACGGACGCCGGCAGCTCATCTCTGGTTTCCGTTCATGTCATTTCCCCCCCCATCCCAAACCTCCACCTCACATGTTTCCCCCCCCCCGCCGCGATCCCTTCATGTCTCAGCCCGCGGCTGGCGGTCTTCTCCGTACACTTGAAAAACGAGCCATTCCTGCCCATCTCCCCATCTTACCCCCCCACCCCGCACGCGCGCATACACACACACACACACAAACACGTCCATGAGTCCGACCCCACCGCCACCGCCACCACCACCACCCCGCACGTAGGTCCGTCACCTTAGCCTTGCGACCTCCCCGAGCTCTGAAACCAAACCCCCCTCACCGACACCCGACCCCGATCGGCCACAGCACTCGGCCCCACATGCCCTTCCCCCCCCCCCA